GAGAGAGAGAGAGAGAGAGAGGGAGAGGGAGAGAGAAAGAGAGAGAGAAAGAGAGAGAGAGAGAGAGAGAGAGGGGGGGAGGGAGACGGCGTGCATTCGCATTTTTTAAAGTGTGCGCGTGTGTGTGTGTTTGTGCGTGCGTGCGTGCATGTCGTGTGCACGCGTGCGTTATGTAGAAACCGCGTAAACCAAAATCTGAAGGGCTGTCCCCCCTGATTTCTTGAAAGTAGTACCCTCTGGTCACTCCGTCGTCGCGACTCACTTGTCAGCCCTTATCATTATCCTTACCGCAACAACATTATTTTTTCTTTGATCTAAACGACACCGCAAAACGAAACAATCCATTCACCCACGCACCACGATAATGTTGTAAATGATGCCACTGTCTTTGACTTTGATCTTAGTATCCCCAGCGCTGTCGTTACCGTGGCCAATCAGGCGGGACTTGCACTGCGCTTGAACGTCTAGATCGCAGTAGACCGACCTTGTTTAAATCGGGCGGCAATTGCGGAAAACCGGCAACCAAACTGGGTCTGAACTTTTTTCTCCTCTAAAATTAGCATGTCTAAGAGCTTGTTCTAAAATGGAAATCCAATTGAGCTAAGAACAAAAAACTCCCCCCCCCCCCCCAGCAACTTCACCAAGTTTTGAGCGCATAAAGAGGGGCACTCTTCAAGGCTGGATAACACATGAATTGTACTGTTACAAGTATCAATAAACGGGGTAGAAATAGGGGTTAATTTGGATTGGGGGGGGGGGTAGCGGCATCTTTTTAGGCATGCACATAAGCTGGTTCTACCTAGTGGGTAAACCGTAGTGTTTTTTAAATGGTTCCATTACAAGTTCCTCCCACGTGGTCAAAGCATCAGCTTACCTTATAAAAGCTGGCTCATTCACGATTATTATTTCCCTTCATTTACTCAAATGTGGTTGGTACTGTTTTATAGTTTCAATACGTCATCAAATCGAAGAACAATGCTGTGTTGTGTAAATTATTATGACCAAAAAATAGAGAGGGAGAGAAGAGAGAGAGAGAGAGGGAGAGAGAGAGG